TTAACGCAATAAACATCTCTTTATGTAAGTCACTTATGGCTTCCTCACTCCCACTTCCCCACACATTATCTCTCCATTCTCCCCTTAAGCTCTTCCTATTTGTGTAAATATTTTACTCCCTCCCAAAAGCTAGGCCTTAGGCTGTTCCTTTTGGGTAAGCTCTGGAAACTTGGGAAATTGGACCTGCACTTGAAGCCTGGGACCCAATTAATCTTTGTGCCATGTGGACTGTTCTGGTCCATATTTTATATTTCTTTGACTGTGACTTCCTGGAGTGGGAATGCCTCTCTGGGAAATGGCCCCCAAAGAATGGCAATGGGGAAGGTCTAACAGGGTGGGATTGAAGACAGGCAGTGGATAATGCAGGGGGGGTGAACTGTATACATGCTCTCCCCTTCACACCCTCTGCTGGGCTGTCCTCAGCCCCAGGGTCTCTCATCCCTGCCTGTGACCGGCAGGAGGGGAACGATGCCGTGTCCCTTCCCTGGCCCAGCCGGTGTGTTTCTGTCCCTGGCCCGTCTCTTCCTGCCAGACGGGAATCGGCCCTGCCCTTTGCTGAGTTCTCTGGGCTCCTTCCTGCTCAGGTCAATCCCAGATTCATGCTCCAGCTGAAGCCAAAGCTGCCCCTGCCTGGATCACACCCCGTCCTCGGGCTGAGCTCTGCTCCTCACGCTCCTGTATCTCCTTTCCCCTCAGAGGAGGTGACTCTGGATCCAGACACGGCTAATTGCTACCTCGTCCTGTCTGAGGATGGGAAAAGTGCGAGATGGACACACACATGGCAGGATCTGCCCCACAATCCCGAAAGATTTGACACTGAGCGCTGTGTGCTGGGCGGTGAGGGATTCACCTCAGGGAGACACTGGTGGGAGGTGGAGGTGGGGGAGGGGGGATGGTGGGGGTGGCCAGAGAGTCTGTGAGGAGAAAGGGAGAGATCAGATTTAGCCCTGAGGAGGGGGTCTGGGGTGTGCTGTGCTGGAGGGGTCAGAACGAGGCTCTCACTGCCCTGATCCCATTCCCCTGTCCCTGCACCAGGAACCCAGCAGGGTTGGGGTCTGTCTGGACTGCACATTGGGGCAGGTGTTGTTTCTTGATGCTGATACTGAGGCCCCGATCTTCACCTTCCTGCCGGCCACGTTCACGGGGGGCAAGATCCAGCCCTGGTTCCTGGTCTGAGATGGGGAAATCAGGTTCAGATGGTGCCAGTGAGAGGGAAAGGAAACGTGCAAGACCGGACCTGTTAGTCGTCCCTCTGGCCTCAGTCGTGCTCATGTCTGTGACCCTGGAGGACTCCTCTCCCTGCAGACGATCAGCTGGGCCGTGCCTGTGATCCTGGAAGCGCAGGTTGGGTTTCTTCATCCTCTGACCATGGAGAGCAGGATGTGGCTGAGCTGGACGGTCCGTCTCTGGTCCGTGGGTCATTTCCTGCATGACCGAGGGGCCCTCGGGAGCCTGTGGGATTCAGCACTGATGGGTTCAGCTGCAGGGGGTCGGGTGAGGGGTGGCGAAGAGGCACCAAAACCCAGGGCCAGTTGTGTTGGGAAATGCAGTTGTACCTGGCCCTGGTGTTCATTGCAGCACTCCTTGTCCAGATCCTCTGGTCTGGAGAAGTGGAGCTGATGCCACTGGTTTAAAAGTGACTTGTGCAAATTTTGGCCCTTTCCCCTCATTCTGATTATTGAAAAATCACTCCCAAGTGATTAATTGGACTCACAGTTGCAGTCAATAAAGGTGTTACTGGTAAATATCAAAGTATCTTCTGTTTGGTGCTTGATTGATTTATTTCACATCTCATTTCCTTGTCAGAAATGCTGTGGAGCGAGCAGGTTTCTTTAAGAGATTTGATTCCTCATGAACAAAACCAATTGCCTTCCTAGGCAAATTCCCATGTCAGTCTTGTTGGACTGTAGCATCACTTCTTGTGTTGCCCGTGAGCCAGACACACATAAACCTCCTCTATGGTTGTGGTCAAATCATACTGGGCCAGTCGTTAGTTTGCCCTTCCTGGTAATTTAAAAACTGAAAGTTCAGATGTTGGAAAATCAATGAAATGTGAAATAAAGCTCCTGGTTACTCTGCTTACAAGGACTATGATAACAAGAAATATCAGTGTCATGTTTGCTTGAAATCAGAAAAGTTCAGAAACTTTTCCATTTACAATAATTAGAAATTGGAAAATATTTAGAGTAGGACATGGTTGTTTCTGTCTTACTGAAGTTGTAAATGTTGTCATATTTAGCACGTGAATGATGGGCTTCATGTATGACTCCCAGCATAAGATCCTCTGACCTGGGCTGTGGAGGTATAACCATGTATAACTTTTCTAGCTCTAAGACTGATAGTGAAAAGCAATAGCTGGGATGCTGATCACATGTGCATTACTTGACTGTCCCTGAGATTATCTATTCAACTGTTTAAAAGTTGTGTAGTTCAGAAGTTATTGCTCTCACATGTGATATAGCAACTGCACCTGGAAACTGTTCAAAACTGTTGAACTGTAGTGACAATACAGGGCTCCCAGTGCTGCCTTGTGCCCTTCCAGAAGGTAGGATGCTAGCAAATGAGGCCTGTGCATTGTTTCTGCTCTGCCCCACACCTCCAGTTAGATCTTGCATATCTCTCTTCCTCAGCCTTGAACGTTACAGTGGCCGTGTCTACAAGAGATGCTGACTACGCAGTAGCGTCACGTTGTAGGCCTGTGTGAAGCTGCTAGTATTTGCTTCAGATTCGGCCAATTTGGGGGATAGTGATTTGATTTGGTGATTCGAATCACTCTCCTGAATTGATTCAGCCAAATTGGACTTGGAGATTTGGCTGATTCTGAATCTCTGAATCAGCCAGGCCCATCCCCCACCTGCTGTCCCAGGTCTGCCCCCCTCCCACCATAGATGCCCTGCCTGCCCCAGCACCAGCCATTGAAGAGAAAAAAATGAAACAAAACCCGGGACACAATGGTTCCTTCCTGGCGGGGAGGCGGCGATCCCTGCTGTCTCCCTTTGCCCCATGCCACGAGAGGGGCTCTTCCATGAACCCCCCGAAGCCCTGAGACTGCTGTGGGAGCTGATGAGACCAGGGGATATTTTAGGTTTTGTTTTTTTTTTAAGGGCCATAGCTGGGGCAGGTGCGGCAGCCATGGGGGTGGCTGGGGGAATGTGGG